TGATGCACTCAAGTGTGGCAGCGGTAGTGAGGTTGGCCCAGGATCGGACATTGTTTCGTTCTGCTGTGCATGGGGTCGCTATGAGTCGGTTCCGACTTGATGGCACCTGACAACAAACAACAACAACCTAATTCAAATTTGAAAACTTACATTAAAGTGGCCCACGAAACTTGTTCCTTTGAGTAAGAAGGTGGAGAGGAGGGAAGAAACAAGAGAGGAAGAAGCATCGATAGCTGCTGGGCTGAACAATGCCATTCAGAGGACTGACCGGAAAGACGGAAACAGGACACGTACGGCAACATGGCGACCTCTACAACTCCCCCTATCCTCTACTTATGTCTTCATGAGGGTGTGAGCAGCAGGAGGCAGAGTGACTCTTCAGATGCTGAGGGAAAAGGTGAAGATGAAGATGCAGGGAAAGAATGTGTGGAGATGATGAGGTGCAGGAGTGTGACAGTGATGTTGAGGATATGGATAAACTGGATGCCAGCAGTGATGAAGGTCATGAGTGTGGAAGAGGAACAGGTTCTTAATGCTAAACACAAAGGCAAAACGCCCTTGAAAGGACCTTTGCAGAGAAAAGAAGCCTATGCAGGGGCAGAGTATGAACAGGAGACCGAGCCCATGGCCAAAGCCCAAACCACGTCATTTCTCTTCATTTGTACACAGGACTGAATTTTAACTTCTTTTTTGCTTCTTAAACCCATACACGTTATTTGCTTTTTTGTGTTCTATTTAACACAGTATTTGTGTTCTCAATATTTGTTACTTCAATGGAGCAAAAAATCTGGGAAAGAAGTGGAAGAAAGCTGTAAGTTACGAACGAGTATTTTTGTCCTGTTTTTGACATACATGTTTTTGACATATATGTTTTTGACATATGTGTTGTAGTAATAGCTTGAGTCCAAGAACTTAACAGACGAGTTCTTGAGAGTATGATGGAATTATGGGTATAAATATTTCTGAATTTGAATGTAGTCCACTCTTGTACCCTTGTTTTCTTTGTGCATATGAGTGGCCATCTTCCCTCATCCCCCCTGCACGTAACGATCATTTAGAAATGGCAGGACTTAAAAAAAATTTTCTCAACCTCTCTTCCCAACTCCCATGGGGGCAAAAAGGAAATAAAAAGATCTAACAGTGAAGAGAAATAAACAAAACACGTTTATTTTAAAAATACATTTAAATTGAAGTGAGTTGATTTAAAGAAAATATTTAGTTAACAGCACACATCTGATGGAAGTTATGAAGGTAGTAAGCAGAGAACTGAACTTGGGGGAGCCTTGTTCAAGAGACCAATGACTTCCCACGCGTCTGGACTTTCTGGGTTTGTCTGTTTAATTTGTTGTTGTATCCTAATATTGATGATTACTTTTCTAATCCCAATTTAATTTTAGCTATGAGAAACGGGATTACTTTTTATCTGAGGTTAAGACAAAGAAAAACAGAGGGTCCCTAGAGGTGTGTGGCTCAGGTACTCAGCTGACAAAGGGAAAGAGGGAGATGCAATGAAGTGAAAAACTATGATTAGAAGGTTCCAGAACAGTACAGAGTGTGGCTTTCTCCACTCCATGCTTTCAAATACAAGTCTGTGAATTTTTAAAAA